CAGTACAGCTCTCGATACTGGAATATACTGTACTGGCAGCACGGCTCTCGGTACTGTACTGTACTGGACGTTTTAGTACGCAGTTAAATACTGGAATAAAAATACTGTACTGTACTAAACCTGCCCGTGGACATGTTTTTCGTGGATGGTGCATTACCCCGAGTGAGTGTGTTTCTTATGGATAGTGCATCAGTCAGAGGATTTATAATACGCTGTGGAGTACGTTAGCCACTGTCTGTTGAGTCTTTATGTTCCGATATCATTGTGTTCTGCTTTTGTGCGTTGGTCGAGCGACGCGGGTGGTGGCTGCGGTGCTGCGGTGCTGTGGTGCTCCCCACCCTTGCTCACTTCATTTTTTGACCTGTTCTCCTGGTCCAAGGTCTCAACAATAAAACATCTTTTCCCCAGAAGCCACGAGTTTACCAACAGTGCGATGTGCCAAGAAGGTATTCTGTACATACCTACTGCTGTTTGAGACGCGGAATCAGTCCTAGACTTCATGACACGGCGGTGCAGGGTGCTGTGAAGCGAAAAAACTCCCGGCCTCGAAGTATTCATTGTGTATATGGAGTATGGCGTCTGTAGTTGTGTGCCAAGAAAAACAAGCCTGTTCGGAAGCAGGAACGCAGGAACACAGCCTTTCCTTTTCTTAGCCAATTATAGTACAAATAACGCATCAAAACAACACAAAACTACCACTATCTACTGTTGCAAACTCTCAAAACAGCGCACAAGAGCAGAGGACAGAGTACGGAGCACGCCACAAACAAAGAACGAAGAACATGCGACATTGGCGAGTTTCGGCCAACGGTTTTTTACTTCTAGAATCAGAAATACATTCTAGATTTAGAAGGGTCAATTTCTGGGAACCTTCCTCAAAGCGGGGGAACATTGAGCTCCTAAATCTGGAGTGTGGTTCTCCGATACAGAAAAAAGCAGCGCTACAAGTAGCGCTGCTTTTTTCTAAATCGGAGAGAGCGTTCCAGATTACAGAGGGGCTACCTTGCACACACACAACAGAACAGCATGGCTATCCGTCAGAGCGTGAGGTCCGTCACCCACACGGAAAATGGCTTGGCCCTAGAGGCTTCCCGCAAGGCGGCGGCGCGTAGCGCTGTTTTTTTATAAATCGGAGAGAGCGTTCCAGATTACAGAAGGGGCTACCTTGCACACACACACAACAGAACAGCATGGCTACCCGTCAGAGCGTGAGGTCCGTCACCCACACGGAAAAGGGCTTGGCCCTAGAGGCTTCCCGCAAGGCGGCGGCGCGTAGGGACGCAGAAGACTCCGAGCGCCCGTCCTTCAGGGCGGCAGGCGATGGGCACGCGCAAAAGGTGGCGAGGTTTGGTGGAGAAGAGACCCCGGTGCAGTTAGTTGGAGGGCTTCGACGATGAAGTGTGTGCCCAAACCATCGAGCGTGGACCCCGCGGGCAACAAGACCGCAGCAGGCATGAAGAGAAACTCGGGGAAGTGGAACACGGGACAGGACCTGATGCTGCTTACTTCCGGTGAGTGTGTGCACGTGTGCACCCACCGGACCTACAGGTAGTCTACGTATGTATGCAAGGTGGCACGCATATGCATGGGCAACCCACCGAACACGATACAGCATATAGCATGGGTGCCACCTGTTACATGCTGTAGCATCCGGTTGCTGTGTAGCAGTGGACCCGTCGCTGGGTAAGTAGTAGGTCCGAAGCTTGTGGCTTCGCTTGTGAGTCGAACATACATGCCTTTTTTCATGTGGCTCGTCGCAGCATGAACACAGCAGTCCGGTAGGACGACAGGTTCCGCGGCGTGTTGGGTTTGTGCCTCGTGCAATCTCCTGCCATCGTATGTAGGGCGGCATATTTTCTAACTCGGTTGAAGGAAGGTGATGTGGAGAACATTCGTTGAGCAAGCAAAGCACGGTTTTGAAGAAAAGCTGGCGGTCATCAGAGGAAGCAAGCAAGAAGACCACATGAGGTCGATTGGTGTATTTTCGTGTTGAGTTGACTACTTTTTCAAATTTTAAATTTCAAGTTTCCCCATATCAGACGGCGCCGAGTTCGGATGTCTCACTCCCGCCTGCGTCGCTACCTGCTGTACAGCAGTGGAGCAGATGCACTTGCTTGAAAAGGGGTTTAACATACAGGATTTGTGCTTATCACCCAACTGCTGTTGCTGCACAGCAGTTTATCGAAAAGGTTGTTCTCTGGATACAAAGTCCCGTGGCACAGCAAGGTGGCGATAACAAGTATTCTACACTGACTGCTGTAACACCCGAAGCACGTTGCACGGTGTGCCTGCTTTTGTATGCTCTCTCACCACAGCAGTTGCATCCGTAAGGATGGGGTTTGGTCGGAAGAGCGTTATGTCAGTTTCCGGATAAGACGCCGGCCTTGTGGGCTCCTCACTTCGCATATTTATTTTCTTGCTTGTCAATTTCGCTCTCCCTGTCGCGGCAGCTGTCAGACTCAAGACCTGGCGAGTGGCCGGCGTGACCGGCACAGTTGAAGACAGATGGGGATTGGTCTACGCAGAGTTGAACTCGGAGCCGCAAGTGAGAGCTTTGGGGGACAAGCCTTTAAAGAATTTGGTGTCGCGCTTCAACCAACTTGTTCGCGTCCAAACCGCCAAGAACAATGACGCCGCACGAGCATCGGGAGTAGGGAATACCTCCGGCGACGACCTCGACGGAGAAGAAGCCAAGCTAGTGAGAAGCTAAACGGTGAAGCACAATTGTACTGCGAATTTGTTAGCCTACTGTGATATATGTTGATACGGAATTCGGTGCTATGATGGCAACGATCACTCGGGGTAGCCCTCTGCCTGTATGTCATGCGTTGAGCTGTCCTTCGCGAAAAACGGGAAAAAATTCAACGAAGTCTGTATGCAAACGTCGGAATGAATATGGAAATAGGGCAACGAGAGCCCAGTGCATGACTTTTGCTGCTCGTCTTGCCGCGCTT